ATTATTTTGTGTGTATGGGTGTTTTGCCTGCATGTATGTCTGTGGACCACGTGCACACAGTGCCTGCAGAGGCCAGAATAGGACATCAGATCTCCCTAAAACTGGAATTATAGTCAGTTTTGAGCCACCATGTGTGTGTTGGGGATCCAACCCAGGTCCTCTGGGAACAGAATCTAGTTAAGAGTGCTGTTAACTGGTAAGCCAGCTTTAGCTCCCCAGTTTTTAAAGACTTAGTGTTTATTTATGTGTATGTCCAGGTGTGCACCCCCGAAGAGAGCCCCAGAGCACCCGGAGCTGGAGTTACAGGAGGTTGTGAGCCCCCTGACATTGGGGCTGAGAACTATGTCCTGGTCCTCTGCAAGAGCAGCAAGTGTTCCTAACCATCAAGAGCCATCTCTCCAGCCTCTCGCTTTTGTCTTGTTCTGTTTGGTTTTTTGAGACAGGGTTTCTCTGTGTAATAGTCCTGGCTGTCCTGGAACTCGATTTGTAGACCAGGCTGGCCTCAAACTCACAGAGATCCACTTGACTCTGCCTCCTGAGTGCTAGGATTAAAGGCGTGCGCCACCACCATCCTGCTGCTTTTTTTTTTTTAACATAGTGCTGGTGATCAGGGCTTTGTGCTTTGTGCCAGTTAGGGAAATACCCTACTGATTGAGCTGTACCTCCAGCTCTCTTTTAATTAATTAATTAATTAGTTAATTATTCTTCATTCATTTATTTCTGTTAGTATGGGTGTATGTACAGCATGCACTGTGCGCTCTCTCTCTCTCTGTGGTGTGTGTGGGTGTGTGTGTATGGTCAGAGCACAACTTTCAGGAGTCATTTTTGTCCGACCTTGTGGGCTCTGGGGGATTGAATTCAGGTGGTTGGGATAGCACTGCAGGTCCTTACACCTGTTAAGGCGTCTTGCTGTCCTCTGTTTTTTGTTTGTTTGGTTTTCTTTTTGGTTTTTGAGACAAGGTTTCTCTGTGTAGTCCTGGCTGTCCTAGAACTCACTCTGTAGACCAGGCTGGCCTCGAACTCACAGAGATCCACCTGCCCCTGCCTCTTGAGTGCTAGGATTAGAGTGGTACACCATCACGTCCAGCCTTAAAAAATTTTTTTTTTCTTATTTAAAAAGCCAATCTAAGCCGGGTGGTGGTGGCTCACGCCTTTAATCCTAGCGCTCGGGAGCAGAGGCAGGCGGATCTCTGTGAGTTTGAGGCCAGCCTGGTCTACAGAGCGAGATCCAGGAAAGGCACAAAGCTACACAGAGAAACCATCTCGAAAAAACAAACAAACAAAAAAAAAAAAAAAAAAGAAAGAAAGAAAGAAAAAGATATCTGACTTCATATCCCGGCCTCCATGCACACACATACAAGTGAACACATACATACGTGCATGCGTAACACACACACACACACACACACACACACACACACACACACACACACACATCAGTCCAGGGATATAGCTCAGCAGAGGGCTGAGCCAGCATTCAGGAAGGCCTAGGCTTGATTACCCAGTACTCCACAGACTGGATATGGTGGTGCATGCCTATGGTCCCTTCACTCTTTTGTTGCTTTGTTTTTGAGGCAGGGCCTTACTGGGTGGTCCTGGCTGGCCTTTGGAACCTCATATGGAGACCAGGCTGTCCTCATGGGGATCTGCCTGCCTCTGCCTCCCCCACACCCTCTTGTAGCGCTGTGGGACTCTTGGGACAGGAGAGTCATCCTTGGCTACATGGTACGTTTGAGCGGTGTAGGCAGCCTTGAACACGAGACCCGGAGACTGTTCCAAGAAGTAGCTGGAGCCGAGGCCAGGCGCTGGGGCTGAGTTTGCCGTGTTCCGAGACTTGTGTGTAGCCAAGCGTGGCCAGTGCTGGCAGGTTGGGGAGGAGAGGGAGACGGGAGCCGAGTCTTAGGAAAGGTTCAGGGTTTAGCAGTAGCCCAGCCGTCGTGGTGCCCCTGGGCAGTCTGTGGATGTTGCTACTGTGGAGTAGCTGTCTAACATTGGCAAGGCCCTGGGTTCTATTCCAGCAACACCAACATCAACAAGAAGTTCTCATCCATAGATCCCAAGAGTGCTTAGGGTAGGAGTGGGTCAGCTCCCTCTTAGAGAAGACCACACGCATGCTTTGGGGTTTATTGTCTTCCTACAGGAAATCCCAGAGGCTACGGGGGCTGCAGGCAAGAGAAAACAAAAACAAAAACAAACAAAAACCACCTCTCCTTGTTCCCAAGATCTAGTCTAAAAATATCTTAATACATTTCAACTATGCTTCATTTAAAAGAAAAGAAAAAGAAAAAGTGGGAGCTGGCCACCATCGAATTGGTACCTTAGAATAAATAGCCAAGGGATTACATTAGGTGGCCTAGGACAGAAAAGAGACTGACCTTTGCACATCCTTTGATCAGTAGTGTGTAGCTAGAGTTTTCCTGCCTGGCCCACAGTCAGGACAAATCTCTCTCACCCGCCAGTCCCACAGCCACTCAGACCCAACCAAGTAAACAGAGACTTATATTGGTTACAAACTGTATGGCCGTGGCAGGCTTCTTGCTAACTATTCTTACAGCTTAAACTAATCCATTTCTATAAATCTATACCTTGCCACATGGCTCGTGGCTTACCGGCATCTTCACGTGCTGTTTGTCATCATGGCGGCTGGCAGTGTCTCTCTGCCTCAGCCTTTCATTTCCCAGCTTTATTCTCCTCCTTGTCCCGCCTATACTTCCTGCCTAGCCACTGGCCAATCAGTGATTTATTTATTGACCAATCAGCAACACATTTGCCATACAGAACATCCCACAGCAGTAGTGGGACTTAACTGGGAAGAGGCAGTGGAGATGCGGGATTTGCCGGGGTTTTTTTGTTGTTGTTTATTTGTTTGTTTTGGTTTAGTTGTCTGGAGATGAACTGATGAAGGTAATGTGGTTAGTTACTCGTGTTCAACCAAGAGGGACTTGTGTGAATGAGTTGAGAGTTCATGGTCACAGTTTGGACCTGTGTGGGAGCCGAGGGCTTAAAGGAATGACGGGGAAGATGAGATAAGGGAAGAAGGGAAGGTGTGGGCCAGAGGCCCTAAGACAGCGTCGTCCATCATTAGTGGTCCAGGGCAACCGAGCAGCCCAACATAGGGATGGGGTGTAGCTCAGCCGGGCGAGTGTGAGGAAGAGGCCACCGAGAAGACTTTCAAGTGGTTGACTGGATAAATGATGCTGTCAGAATAATAAGGGAGATGAAGATGAAGGGATGTTCCTCAGATTCGATATCATGGAGATGCCATGGGGGGGGGGCGGCTCTTGACTTCTTGACCTCCTCTGCCTGCAGATCCAGAAGATCATTAAGGAGCCAGTCCCAGACATCGGACTGCTAAGCTTCTTCCAAGGCAAGAACAACCCCCTGTTGCTCAACTCCAGGCCCTGACTTGAAGGAAGGACCCACCCTCCTTGTCACCCAGACGTTGATGGATGCCTTTTCCTTCATCCATGGATCCCAAGAGTGGTGCAGTCCGCCAGGAGAGCCGCCCCCGTGGGAGAGGAGGCGTGGTTCTGCCTTCTTATTGGACAGCTGGTCCCGGAAATGCAAATGAGGCTCCCGGTGCTGGGTGGGAATTGGCTGAGGGAAAGGTGGAGGCGGGGCTGGGCCCCGGGCCACTTCACGGAGCGGGAAAAGGAGGGGGAAGGAATGTCACAACTGGGACCCGGTCTCAGAGAATAAACATTGCTGTGGATGAGGACCGAACCATTATTGGGTTTGGGGGGCATCACAGGGGCTACAGGGGTCTGTGGGAGGAAGAAAGTGGGGTCTCCTGCAAGTGGGGTGGGGGAGGCGCCTCTTCTGAGCTCCAAGCCGGCGCGAGACACCGGCGCGGGCTGGCGGCGGCCACATCTGCACTAGGGCCGGTGCGCATCTGCACCGGAGAGGAAGAGCTGCCGGCCAGGGTCCCCGCCACGCTGCCTGCCGCCCCCACCCCCATCGGCGCGCGCGCGCCCAGCCCCGCTGGCTGGCAGACACGCGCTCGCGCTGCCTCCCTTGGCTGGCCCCCACGCTGCCACCCCCGATTCCCCGAGGGTCCCGCATCCGGAAAGGTGAGCGCATCCCCGTACCTGGTGAGGAGGGGGAAACCGAGGCACGGGGGAAAGGGAGGGAATAGGGAAGAAGGGACAAGTATGTGAATGGATGGATAGATTGGATGGACAGTTGCTGCTCAGTGGTTCGTACTCTCCCAAGACGCAGAATTCTGCAGCCCTTAGGAGATCAGAGTGTTGAAACTCTACAGACGCCCCCCTCCCCTCCTCAACCTCCACCGCGTCAAACCCTCACCCAAGATTCGCAGACTCGTTCCCCAGCCGTGGAAGCCCTTAGAAAGCATCCTGTATCTGACCAGTCCGATCCCATTGACAATCAGACTCACCCCATCACCACCGCGGCTCCCGGCAGCCCAGCCCCCTCCCAAAAGGCCTGGCACCGGTCACCTAGCCCGGTATACCCTCCCCAGGGACCTAGGAGTCCCAGCCATCCTCTGGAGCCCTTTGGGACACGGGCGTCGGAGCCCCGGCCCCCGCCTTCCGGATCCAGGTGTCCCCTCCGCACACCCAGCCCGAAGCCTGCGTCTCGAGGCCGCGCTCGCGTCGCCATGGCAACGGGAGTCTATTTTGCGCCGGGAACACACAGCTCCCTCTGCAGCGCCCCCCACCCACCCCGCTTAAGAGTGGGGGGCTCAAAGGGCGAGGGGACAATGCCGTGATGGGGGGTCAGACACTTAGAAAGAAGCCTGGGGCAGACATGCAGAGATTGAGAGCCCCTGACAGAGGAGCTGGGTGTGGGGACTACAGGGAGGAGACTGATCCAGGCGGGGGAGGCTGGGGATGGAGGCCCCAGACAGAGATCCGGGATGGAGCCTCAGACAGACACAGAGATGCAGAGGGACGGAAACAAGGACCCGACGGCGGAGTCGGGTTAGAAAGAAAGAAAACAGCCGGCTGGATGGAGGCAGGGGTCCTGAAAAGGTCCTGACAGGGGTCTCTAGGCAGGGACCCCCACAGACAGCCCAGACAGAGTAGCACTGCATATGGTTCTGGGAAGGCATCCACTCTATCCTCTGGCAAGGATTTGGGGGGATCTTTCCCGGTAGCCAGGACCCGCTCCTCTTCCCTCCCTCAGCTTCTTCTACAGGTCTTCAGTCTTGCCAGCTTTCCGCATTCCTACCTCAAACTGCCCTCCTCGTCTCTGAGACGGAGCCCCCTCCACTTGCTCCCTAACCCCAGCCCTGATCTGCCCTCCCCCTACCACCTCCGCAGCAGCCACCTGCAGACTCCACTCAGGCCATTTTAGAGGCTCTGGTCCTTATTGGTTGTACCTTCTCCATCTCTGGGTCTCACTTCCCTCACTCTCTCTTATACCCCCACCCCCCGCCCCGCCCTGCCCAGGGCCTCTCTTCCTCTCTCTGGGTCTCCCACTCTTTTTCTTTCTCTGTCTACTTCCCATCACTAGCCATCCTTCCGGTACCACCTTCTGTGGGGTTCTATCTCTTTCCTGGCTGGCTGTCGTCTCTGTCTTCCTCTTCGCTTCTATGTTCCTCTCTTCCTGGATCCTGTTCCTCGGTCCCTTTCTCGCCTCTCAGGCACCTTCACCAGCTTCCCACCCCCACCCCCCACCTGCTGCTGTTCTCGGCAAGGACCCTCAGGAGGCACTCGGATCCACCCAGCCCAGCCCACTTCTGCCGTCCTAGCCAAGATTCTCCACCCCCAGCTGGCAGGGATGGGATAGGATTTGTTGGAGGACTTCCTCTCCCCAGCCTGGCTCCCTTTCTCTATACCTTGTGTCTCTCAAGTCCTGAGCTGGATTTGAGAACCAAGCAAGGTGCACCAGCAGGAAGAACCGGGGTTTGGGGCCTCCCTTTCCACCTACCCCCTCCGGCTGTGGAGGAGGACATCGACTTGTGAGTGAGAACTAGAGATTGGGGGCGGTACAGGGCTGGGGGCGGAGTAGGAGATGAGGCGGGGATGGAGGCGCCACAGGAGTTCTCAGAAGCCAGTTGCAGATTCTGCACAGCTGGGCCAGAGTGTGCTTGCACCTATAAGGCTGCATGACAGAGCTAGGATGAGTGTGAATGCCTGCCTGCCCGCCCGCCCGCCTGCTTGCCTGCCCGCCTGCCCCCGATGCAGGGAGCTGATCTTGGACTTTAATGTCTCTGGTGTGCCTTGACATCTGAGTCTTGGGCACTGATGGCTAAAATGTGTGCAACTGTTTGTATGTCCATGTAGAGTGATGTGTGTGTGTGTGTGTGTGTGTGTGTGTGTGTGTGTGTGTGTGCGCGTGCACACTCACACTCACATACATGCTCTGGAAAGAGGTATAGGTGCATCACCATGATGACACGGAGTGTCCTTGCTGTGGGGCCACTGCTTAGGTGTCTTGTGGTCTGTATTATGTACCGGGTCTGTTAGGAGTCTGAGCAGTGTTGTGCGAGGGAAACAGAGAGCCAGTCCCCTTGTCTCCAGTGTCTGTGCTGGCTGCTGCGTCTGCAGATGGTTGTCCTCTGTCAACTCACAGCCTTTGAGCACGGAAGACAGCTGCCTTCCGCCCCATCAGCCCAGATGGCTTTCATTCTTCCAGCCAGATTCCCATTGTACATGTCAGTGCTCAAAGAGTGAAGGGATCTATGTGGCTGCGTCTGCCACTCTCGGAAAGGCTGGTTCTCTAGGTGTCTCACCTCCCTTCTCTCTATGTGGGATAAAGCCACCTAGACTGGTTCCTGGAGACCTGGGTTCACAGCCTAGCCCCAAGTCCAGGATAGGACCTCTTGGAATTTTGTTCTCATCTGGGGGTGGGTGGGTGGGAGGGATATGAATATCCACCTCTCATACTTGCTTCCACGTTTTCCAAGATATAAATGTTCTCCTGAGCATTTACACGGATCAGACGCTGATTCTGAGTGCTGTAGAGAGAGGCAGGCAAGATGTAGCTCAAATCATCCGCCCTCCATGGATGCTCCAGTTGAGGCGTGAAAAAAGGTACACAGCCAGGCAACACACACGCGCATCCTGTGAGGAATGCACAGGAGCTCCCAGCCCAGCGGGACAGGGAACCCCAGGGGGTCTGGGGCTGCTTTGGGGCTTACTGAGATGATAGGTGAGTGGTGTTGGGGGGTGGCGGGGCGGGCTGCCAAGCTGAGATCTGCCAAACAAGGGGAAAGAAGCAGAGTTCTTGGGCATGACCCTAGAATGGCCTAGAGAAACGATTCTCAACCCGTGGGTCGCAACCCCTTTGGGTTCACGGGGGTCACCTCAGACCATTGGAAAACAGATATTTACATACAGTTCATCACAGCAGCAAAACTACAGTTATGACTAAAATAATCTTATGGTTGGGGTGTCACCACAACATGAGGAACTGTATTGAAGGGTCGCAGCATCAGGAAGGTTGAGAACCACTGGCCCGGAGGAAAAGGCAAGGGCAGGCACTCCAGGTAGAGTGAAGATCGGCTTCAGCGAGGCAGGAAGCCCAAGACTTGGTCTGAACAAGGAAGCTGTTGATGTTATCTGCCCATTTTTGCTTGTTTGTTTTTAAAAACAGGGTCTCACGTAGTCACGATTAAGCTTGAACTCGCCATGTAGCTAAGGATGACTTTGAACTCTGACCCTCCTGCCTCTACCTCCCAAGCACTGGGATGAGAAGCAGGAGCCACCATGCCTGCCTCCATTTTTAAAAGAATTGTGGTAAGACTTGGTTGGATGCTGTGACGCACACCTTTAATACTAGCACTTGGGGGCAGAGGCAGGCAGATCTCTATGAGTTCAAGGCCAGCCTGGTCTGCATACGTAGTAAGTCCCAAGCCACCCAAGGCTATAGATAGTGAGATACTGTCTCAAAATAAATAAATGAATAAATAAATAAAATAACAAAAACACTCGGGAAAAAAATAATGGGAACAGATGCAGAGACCCACAGCCAAACACTAGACAGACCTCCAGGAATCCCGTGGGAGAGGGGGAAGAAGGATTGCGGGGACCAGAGGGGCCAAGGACACCAGGAGAAAACCCACAGAATCAACTAACCTGGGCTCATAGGGGCTCCCGGAGACGGAACCGACAACAGAGCGTTTGCGTGGGACTGACCTAGGCACTCTGTACATACGTTACAGTTGTGTAACTTGGTCTTCTTGTGGGACTCCTAGCAGCGAGAACAGGGGCTGTCTCGGCCTTTGTTGCCTGATTTCGGGACCCTTTCCTCCTAGTGGGTTGCCTCAGTAGGAGAGGAGATGCCTAGTCTCACTGCAATGTGATATACCATGACTGGCTGATACACATGGGAGGTCTGCCCTTTTCTGAAGAGAAACAGAGGAGTGGGTGAGGGGTTAGAAAAAGAGGAGGATGGTGGGAGGGACTGGGAGGAGAGGAGGGAGGGAGGGGAAACTGATCGGTCTGGAAATATTAAATTAAAAATAAAAAAACCACATGAAATTTACATTTAGCCACTTTAAAATGTACAATTAAAATGTACAACCCCATGCTGTTTGGCATATCCCTATGTTGTGTGATGATCTCTTTTATCTAGTTCCAGAACGTTCTCTTTTATTTTAATCGTGTGTGTGCCCTCACGCACGCACGCACGCACGCCACGCACGATGGTTCACATGCAGAGGTCAGAGAGCGACTTGGGAGAGTCTGTTTTTCACCTTCCACCGTCTGGAACCCAGGGCATCCGATCGGGTTGTCAGGCTTTTCAGCAAGCGCCTCTACCCACCAAATCATCTTGCCTGCTCTAGTTCCAGATCATTCTCATCAGTGCGAAAGGAAGCCCTCTGTGTGTGAAGCCATCCCCTTCCATCCCCTTCCCTCCAGCCACACGATACAAGTAACAGGATTTCTGTCTGCACGGGTTTGACTGACGTGGGCATTTCATATAAGTGAGTTCATACACCGTGTCATGGTTTATGTCTGGCTACTTTCACCTAGCACAACATCCTCCAGAGTCGTCTATGCTGTGGCATTCCTCGTTATCAGTGTGACTCCTTTCCAAGGCTGAGTAAGAGTCTACTGCATGGATGTACATCTGTTTATCCGGTCCCCTGTTTCCCTGAGTCAATTCTGCCTTCTGTCCACTATGCATAGAGATACTATAGACTTTCGTGCCTGCATTTTGTATGCTCATATGTGTTTGGTTCTTTGCTGGTTCCTATGGTAACTTACAATTAATCGGTGCGTGGTATCAGGGATTAAACCCTCAGCCTCCAGCATGCTGTGCAAGTGCTCTACCACTGAGCTATATGCCCAGCTCTCTTTTTTGAGTCAGGGTCTTGTTAAACTGGCTGGGCTGGCCTTGAACTCACTGTGCAGTCGGGCAGGTCTTGAGTTTGTGAGCCTCCTGCCTCAGCATCCCAAGCAGACTGGATGGCAGACTTAAGCCGCCACATCTGTTTCATTATGTGTCACCAAACTCTTCCACCACGTGAGCCAAGCCCCTCCTAAAATACCCTTTCAACACCCAATGTGAGAGCGCCCACTAAGCAGTGAAATATTCCAGGCTGGATTTCAGGCGAGGGGTCTAACTTAAGGCTAAAAGGTAAAGTTGAAGGCCAGGTGTGGACATACACTCCAGAGGTAGAGGCAGGGTTGGGAGTTCAATGTCAGCCTTAGTTACATCGTGAGTTTGAGGCCAGCGAGGGCTCCATGGACTTAATTATAATAAAACCGAGCAAAAAGTGAGGGAGATGAGAAGACAGGAAAGCAGAGGAGGGGATGGAAGGAGGGGAGGGGATGGAAGTAGTGGTGATGGCAGAGGAGAAAGGAGGGAGTGATGGAGAGAGAGAGGGAGAGGAGAGAGAGAGAGAGAATGCATTCATGCACCTGTAATCCCAACACTTGGGAAGCTGAGGCAGGAGAATGATTCATTGGTCTGAAGCTAGCCTGAGCTACATAGTGATTTACAGGCCAGCCTGGATTAGAGTGAGACTCTGTGTTTTTGTTTGTTTGTTTGTTTGTTTGTGTGTGTGTGTGTGTGTGTGTGTGTGTGTGTGTGTGTGGTTTTTCGAGACAGGGTTTCTCTGTGTAGTTTTGGTGCCTTTCCTGGATCTCGCTCTGTAGACCAGGCTGGCCTCGAACTCACAAAGATCCGCCTGGCTCTGCCTCCCAAGTGCTGGGATGAAAGGCGTGCACCACCACCGCCTGGCTAGACACTCTGTGTTTAAAAAAAAAAAAAAAGAAAAGAAAGAAAAGGTTGAGACTCCATGTAATAAGAGTTGGAGCCAAATCTTGGGGAACCCCAGCACCCAAAAGCCATCTCCCATCCCAGCTTTCTAGCACGTTGGTTGACAGTATCTACACAGAGAGAGAGAGAGAGAAAGAGAGAGAGAGAGAGAGAGAGAGAGAGAGAGAGAGAGAGAGAGAGAGAGAGAGAGAGAGAGAGATGCACAGTGGACAGAACAAATTATGAAATCACCTAATGATTTTCACTTAAATATGTCCTGACTCCCTTCCTTCCTCTTCTGCTGTTTTAGTTCCCCACGGCTCTGTCACTTCTCAGTGTTTCTCCTCAGTAGTCTGAAGCACACGTGACAGTTCTGTCTAGCATCTCCCTCTTCTCTCTGGAAGGGCAACCCTAGACCCACAGGAACCTGTGGGCTTATTCGAGGTAGTATCCTTCACGCTCCTGACAGCTAGGGGGGGATGGTCACCACCCTCAGGCACGGATCCAAAGGTTGTTTCCAGAAGGGGTCCCTGCCCCATGCACCGGGCACAGCCTTTGCTCCGAGCCTATGGAAGGAAGCTCCTGGGCAGCTGGTCTCCCTGAAGTTTTTCAAAATGCCATTTAAGAAGAGGGGAGGGGGGACTCTGAGGGGGACCACCCAGAGCCTGCCGCCTGCAGCCCCGGCTCTGAGCTGCTTATCCTGCCTCGGTGGTGAGGCTCTGTTCCCCTGCTCCCTGCCAGACTGTCTCCACACCCCCGTATCTTCTCCTGCCCACTCTGGCCTGTTCCTGACCTGCCTGGACCGTTGCCATGGAGACAGCTAGAAGACCCGCCCTTCTGACCCACCTCCCCAGTCCCATTTCTCTTCTCATCACCCCCACATCGAATATGTTTCTTCCCAAACTGTGAACGGCAGTGGCACTTTTGTATATGAAATCGTGTGCGTGCACGTGCGTGTGCGCGTGTGCATGCGTACAAAGGAGACAGGGCATGCTTGGAGAATTGAGAACCAAGTAGCCGCAAGCCAGTAGTTCCTAAGTATACTGTGTCCCCATCGCCGAGATAACTTTCCTTCGTGGGTTTGGCTTTGTTTGTTTGTCTCCATATGTATCTTTGGCTGGCCTGGAACTCAACTATGTAGCTCAGGTTGGCCTCAAACTTCAGACAATCCTCCTGCCTCCGCCTCCAGAGAGCTGGGGTTACAGGCATGTGTCACCATGCCTGGCTTCCCTGCACACACACACACACACACACACACACGCACGCACACACACACACACGCACGCACACACACCCCAGTACCAGGAGGCATCTTGGGTTCTCACACAGTCATCACCTGCATGCCTGTCAGCTGTTCCACAGGTTCACAGGACAAGGATGACTCCCCATATCAGCATCAGTGTCCCTGAACTCATGTTGAGAGCAGAGCAGGGCAGGGCTTAGCTCATGGCTTAGCTCTCAACTAATTTTCATTCTCTCTCTCTCTCTCTCTCTCTCTCTCTCTCTCTCTCTCTCTCTCTCTCTCTCTCTCCTTCTCTCCTTCCTCCCCTCCTCCTCACTTCTCCCTGCCCCACATCTTCTCTTCCCTATCCCTCTCTCCTGCCTTCTTTCTGCCCTCCCTCCTTCCCTCCCTCCCTCCCTCCCTTCTTTCTTTCCCTCCTTCCTGGGCTCCGCGGGTCCCCGGCTGCCGCTCACCCCCCTCCCACACATCTTCCTCAACTCCCCCCTCCGCCTCCTGCCTTCACACCTTCCTTCTCCGTCAAGTCCTCCCTTCGTTATAACTTCTGCACGCCCCTCCTCCGTCCCCGCCGACCTTCCCTTTCTCCCGCTTCGCCCCGCTCTCGTCGCTCCCTTTGCCCTCCCCTCCCACCCCTGCAGTTGGGCTCCCGGATCCGCAGCCTGGCGTCCCGGTGCGCACCATGCGGGCCCTGCTGCTGCTCGGGACCGTCGCGCTGCTGGCCTCCGCCACGGGCCCGGCCGGGGCGCGCCCATCCAACGACACGAGCGCCGCGGCCCCGGGCCCGCTGCCTGCGCTCCTCGCGCACCTGCGGCGCCTAACCGGGGCTCTGGCGGGCGGCGGGAGCGCGGCGGGCACCGGCGCCAACGCCACCAAGACCAGCCCCGCGGGTGGCGCGGGCGCGGCGGCACGGGCGCCCCCTCCGGCCGAGCTCTGCCACGGCTACTACGATGTCATGGGCCAGTACGACGCCACCTTCAACTGCAGCACCGGCTCCTACCGCTTCTGCTGCGGCACCTGCCACTACCGCTTTTGCTGCGAGCACCGCCACATGCGCCTGGCGCAGGCCTCCTGCTCCAACTACGACACGCCACGCTGGGCCACCACGCCTCCGCCTCTAGCCGGAGGCGCCGGGGGCGCAGGGGGTGCGGGCGGGGGGCCGGGGCCGGGCCAGGCAGGGTGGCTGGAAGGGGGCCGGGCCGGGGGCGCGGGGGGACGTGGGGGCGAGGGCCCCGGGGGCAGCACCGCGTACGTGGTGTGCGGAGTCATCAGCTTCGCCCTGGCGGTGGGCGTCGGTGCCAAAGTGGCCTTCAGCAAGGCGTCGCGTGCGCCCAGAGCGCACCGGGAGATCAATGTGCCCAGGTGGGTGTGCGGTGGGGCTGGAGGGGCAGGAGGGAGTCTGGAGCTGGGCCACTGGGAGGCCAAGCAATCTGGTGAAGGCAGTTTCCTTGAGGCTGGGAGGTGAAGCAACTGATTAATGGGCAGGTCTTACGCCGTGAGAGGTTCAGCAACCTGCCTGGGGGTGTGGCCTGGGCAGTATGGGTGGCTTGCTGGGAGCTGGGCCTGCACAGTGGGATGTGGAACCTGTTGGGGAGTGGCTACACGGATGGGTGGGGTCCAAGTTAGTAGTGGGAAATAACTGAGGCCTGAGAACAGAATCGATTGAGAAGAATTGGGATGGGGAGCTCATTCATTCAACCAATATTTTTTTAAAAACTTTCTGTGGGGCAGGAACTGAGGATACAGGATGGGACAAAAGCCCTGCCCTTCTGGATAAAGTCTGTGTCCCAAGCCCAAGTATTCTGCTTGTGATCTATGTGATGCGGGGGTCGCGGGGTCTCGGGTTCCTCGTGTAGACGGCAGGTCTAAGAACAGACCTCCGTTTACTCGGTTTCTAAAGATTAACTGAGCTGATTTATGTAGAGACCCAGCTGAGTAAGTGCTCATTAAATATTTGTGGTAGACCCAGCAAGCCTATATACAACGTAACTCTAGATGTTGACAACCGCTGTGGAAAAACACACAAAAAAAAAAAAAAAAACAATGTAAAGAGTTAAGGGGAGTGTTGGCTTGGGGAAGGGATTGGTTTAGTTGAAAATCAGAAAGAGTCTGTCTGAGGGGGACCCCGAAGGAATTAGAGACAGAGTCAAGCAGCTACTGTGTGAAGGCCATTCCAGGCAGAGCGAACAGGCATATTCGGGAGATGTCTGTGTACGTGGTGTCTGAGGTGAGGAGCAGGCAGGGGCTGCGTTTCTTCTGTGTGCTAGGTAGAGCCACTAAGGTGGATAGAGCCCATTGCAACACCTGGAGGCCGTGTGGGGATGGACTAGGAGCAAAGTCCACAGCTGCAGACCAGGAGAAAGTGACTTCCGGGTGGGAGAGGTGCTGAGCAGTGAACTGATGGGTCCTGTGTTGTGGAGTCTACTTTGGAGGGTTGCAAAGAGGAGAAAAGTTCCAAAAGGTTTGAGGTCTGCCTAAGTGAACAAGTAGGGCATCTTTTATTGCAACCAGAAAGGCTGCCCAAGGAACAGTATTAAGAGGTCTCTCAGTTCATGGTGAGGCAAGGCCACACAGGAGGATGTGGATGGACCACGGAAGGAGTTCTTGAAGGAATATGTCAGGCAGGAAGTGTGGTCAAGGAAGGTCGACATTAGAAGGTTCGTAGCCAAAGATGGACCACAGCTCTGCACTGCAGATTCCCTAAAGAAGAGAATAGGGAGGGGTAAAGAGACTTGGGCTTTCCTCATCTCCCTCCCACCCCAGTCCCTGACTACCCATCCATCCATCTACCGTTTTCAGAGCTCTGGTGGACATTCTGAGACATCAGGCAGGACCTACAACCCGTCCAGACCGGGCTCGAAGTAGTTCTCTGACCCCGGGGCTAGGAGGCCCAGAGAGCATGGCCCCCAGGACGCCCAAGAACCTTTACAACACCATGAAGCCCTCCAACCTTGGTGAGTGCAAGGGAGAGATGTAACCTCATCTCTGGTCACACACACCCCCTGTGGCTCTGCCCTCCCCCCACCCCCCACTCCATGTGATACTCCCCTCTCTTTCCACTCCAGCCTCCATTCATCAGTCTTGAACCTTCCATTTCTTCCTCCATCTCCCATTTCTGCTCATCCTGAGAGAAGTCCCAGAGGCCATAGTGGACAAGCCAAATTCTGGTCTTGTTTGAGGCAGGAAACGGGGCGGGGGGGGGGGGGGGGAGGGTGTTGAGTGTGTGAGAGGGTGGTGGTGTGGCTTTCCCCAAGGAGAGGAGTCACTTCGGCCGCAGGAACTCTGGGTAGCTGGAGCAGAGCTTATGAGGCTCTCAGGCCTGAGACCACAGACAGCATGGAATTCTAAACTACTTCCGTTTCTGAAGTCAGTGGGAAACAAACCACTGAGGTGTTTCGAGCAGGAAGCAGCACAGGCAGGACTGGAAGATAGCTAGATGAGCGAAGGCTGAGGCAGGAGGATCAAGAGTTGGAGCCCAGCCTGGGTTAAATAGCATGAACCTGTCCCAGAAAAACCAAGGGGTAGGGATGCAGCTCAGGGGTAGAATGAATATTCCAGTGAGGAGCTGGAGGTGGAACCCAACAGGGAGGGACTTGGGGATGTAGTTCAGTGACTGGGTGTTTACCTGGCCTGCTTAGAGCTCTGGCTTCCATCTCCAGCCTGGGGAAAAAAAAAAAAAAAAAAACGTAAAAAGGAAGTCAGGCTTGGTGGAGACTGGAGTTACAGCCCATGTAGTAATAGAAGAGAGTCTGAGCTGGGTCGGGGTGGAGGGAGGAGATGATTTTCTTTCTTTCTTTCTTTCTTTCTTTCTTTTTTTTTTTTTTTTTTTTTTTTTTTTTTTTTTTTTTTTTTTTGAGACAAGGTTTCTCTGTGTAGCTCTGGCTGTCCTGGAATTTTCTCTGTAGACCAGGCTGGTCTCTAACTCAGAGATCCGCCTGCCTCTGCCTCCCAAGTGCTGGGATCAAAGGCGTGTGCCACCGCAGCCCCAGCAGGAGGACATGATTTTCAATAGTAGTTATGAGGGGACATTCAAACTAGGTCTTTGTGAGGGCTGTTCCCCCCCCCCCCCCCCCCGATAAAACCTCATGTTGTCCAGGTCGGGCTTCAAACCCCCTATGGAGCCGAGCTTGAACTTCTGACTTTCCTTCCTACGTCTTCCAAGTGCTAGGATTACAGGCCGCAGCATCAGGCTGTGGTTTTTCGAGACAGGGTTTCTCTGTGTAGCTTTGGTGCCTGTCCTGGATCTCGCTCTATAGACTAGGCTGGCCTCGAACTCACAGAGATGCTCCTGGATCTGCCTCCTGGCCTTTTTTTTTTTTTTTTTTTCCCCTAACACAAGGTATCACACTGTGCCCCAGGCTGCCTGGAACTCGTGTAGCCTGGGCTGGCCCTGGATTCATGGCAGTTTTTCTGCCTCAGCCTCCTGTGTGCTGGGGCTAGAGTCGTGAGCCACTTTGTGAAGCCTCAAGCTCGATCTTGAAGGAGGTTTCCTTCTTCAGGCAAAGAGGGGAAGGAGATTCGAGGCTCTGAGACCAGCATTACAGAATGCACAAAAGCCCTGTGGCAAGCCTCAGACACCACCCCTGCGTTCCGCTTTACCTGTTGGGGATGGTGAACCCTGGAAGGCATCCCAGCGCCAGAGGGACAGCCGCTGTGGGTCTTCCCGCCTTAATGTGGACTGGGAAGAGGGCCAGCAGGCATATCTGATTATTCAAATGAGCGAGGGTGTCCGTGGAGGCAGAGATGTGGAGTCAGGAGGGGCCACCAGGCCTGAGTAGTGAGAGGAGACCACCAGAGTTCTGGCCTGGGTGTTGGGGTTAATACGGAAGAGGAACATGTCACTCCCCAGCCATGACCCTGAGCCCCCATCCTCTGTTTCCTCTGGGACCGATAGAGTAAGCCGACCTGGGGGGCTCCAAGGAGGGGGTGGGAGCTGTACTGAACTGGGAGCCAGAAGTGACACACTTCCGGGCAAGAGTGCCAGCCGGGATGGCGATGACAGTGACGTCACCTCCCTTCTCGGTCCTTCAGATAACCTGCACTACAACGTCAACAGCCCCCAGCACCGCGCTGCCACACTGGGTACGGAGGGCCGAGGCGCCCTGGGAGTCGGGGTCCTGCGGGCCCTCACTGTGGGCAGCCCCAGCCTGGTGCTGGGTGGAGCCCCAGTAAGACCCCCCGTGAGCCGGTGCTCGCGTGGGGCTGGCCACCAAGGCAGCTGCAGTGTCCTCGAGAGGACACCGGAAGTGGTGATCTCCTTCCTGTCAAGTTTTGGGAAGATGCGTGGAATGCATCCCCAGCTGGGGCCAGGATTCAGTGGGTGCTGACAAATGCCAGCGGTCCCCAACCTGGACTGTGATTTCATCCTCAACCACAACCCTGTCCACTGTGGTGGGAAAGGAGGGGTTCCTAAAGGGTGGAGCTTTCGCAGGCTAGAACCCCAGATCCCTCACCTCCCAAGCCCTAGACCTCTGAAGGAGGAAGGCTGGAGCCTGAAGTCTCAGGTCCGAGGGAGGATGGTTAGAGCGTGGACCCCTGGGTCTGAGAAGGGAGGGCTGGGATCTGAAATCCCGGGTGTAAGGGAGGAGGGCTGGACTCTTCCCTCAGACTCTTGGGTATGAGGAAAGAGGGTGGGGCCCCAGACTCCTGGGTCTAAGGGAGGAGGGCAAAGATCTGCGGGACCCTGGATCCCAGGGAGGAGGGGTAAGACCTGGATTCCTGTATCTGCCGGAGAGAAGGAATCTGAACCTTTGAGCTTGAGGGAGAAGGGCTGGGCTCTGGGAACCTGTGTCTGAGGGAGGAGGGCTGGGCTCTGGGAACCTGGGTCTGAGGGAGGAGGACTGGGCTCTAGATCCCTGAGTCTGAGGGAGGAGGGCTGGGCTCTAGATCCTTGTGTCTGAGGGAGGAGGGCTGAGCTCTGGGTCCTTGGGTCTGAGGGAGGAGGGCTGGGCTCTGGGTCCTTGGGTCTGAGGGAGGAGGGCTGGGCTCTGGGTCCTTGGGTCTGAGGGAGGAGGGCTGGGCTCTGGGAACCTGGGTCTGAGGGAGGAGGGCTGGGCTCTGGGTCCTTGGGTCTGAGGGAGGAGGGCTGGAGCCTGGGAACCTGGGTCTGAGGGAGGAGGACTGGGCTCTGGGAACCTGGGTCTGAGGGAGGAGGGCTGGGCTCTGGGAACCTGGGTCTGAGGGAGGACGCTGCACTAACCGGGTCTTCCCCCACGCCGCAGACTGGCGAGCCATGCCACCACCCAGCCCCTCCCTGCACTATTCCACGCTGTCCTGCTCGCGATCCTTCCACAACCTCTCGCATCTTCCCCCGTCCTATGAGGCTGCTGTGAAGTCAGAACTGAATCGCTACTCCTCTCTCAAGAGATTGGGTGAGCTTGGGGAGGGGGAAACTCAGCCAATGGCCTCCGGGGTTGGGGGCGGGGGGGGTTGCGTTTAGTTCCTCATACCGCAGTCAGGGTGGTGGGAAGCTCAAAAGGTTCCAATCTTCCTACCCGCTTTCTTCCTAGTTGTTTCTGTATTACCTGAGATATTTAGATAAATATCTTGCTTTGTAACCCACTTTGTCCTGGAACTCACAATGTAACACAGGCCGACCTCAAACCCGTGGTGATCCTCCTGTTTCAGCTTCCCTAGAGTTTGGGATTGCAGGTGTGAACCACCATGCCTGGCTTAGCTTGGTGACTCTTGTTGATCAAACGTTAGGACCTCGTGGGTGCTGCCTGGGTGGAGTGCGGATAGGGCGGCTGGAGGAGGAAGGCTCTGGGTTATCAAGGGATCTGTCTTTTCTTTTCCTCCAGCTGAGAAAGATCTGGACGAAGCCTACCTGAAGCGCAGACATCTGGAGATGCCCCGCGGGACACTGCCCTTGCATGCCCTCCGGCGGCCTGGCACTGGAGGTGGCTACCGCATGGATGGCTGGGGTGGTCCGGAGGAGCTGGGCCTGGCACCGGCCCCCAACCCCCGGCGGGTTATGTCCCAGGAGCACCTGCTGGGTGACGGTGGCCGGGCTCGCTATGAGTTCACATTGCCTCGAGCCCGTCTGGTGTCCCAGGAACACCTGCTGCTGTCCTCACCAGATGCTCTTCGCCAGAGCCGTGAGCACCTGCTGTCACCCCCACGAAGTCCTGCGCTGCCCCCAGATCCCACCACCCGGGCCAGCCTGGCTGCCTCACACTCCAACCTGCTGCTGGGGCCTGGGGGGCCCCCCACACCACTGCATGGGTTGCCTCCGTCGGGCCTGCATGCGCACCATCACCATGCCCTTCACGGCTCTCCTCAGCCAGCCTGGATGTCCGATGCAGGCGGGGGTGGGGGCACACTGGCCCGCAGGCCACCCTTCCAGCGCCAGGGCACCCTGGAGCAGCTTCAGTTCATCCCCGGCCACCACCTGCCACAGCACCTGCGTACTGCCAGCAAGAACGAAGTGACTGTCTGAGGCCAGGGTTGAGCGCGGGGGGCTGTGGCTTCTGAGGCCCCCTCCTCCCAGCCCAGCCCTCCATCACAGGCTTATCACACACACCAAGGGTCTGAGGCCAGATGGGCCCTTGGGTCGGAGACCACACTTCCTTTTGGGATGTCACAGTAGATGAGATCTCTCCTCCTACTTTGTCACTGTTTGAACCAAGGCCTCCTTCCCATGATGTCATCACAGAGGAAGAGGTCTGCACACGAGGTCATCGCTAGCAAATATGTCTGTGTTCTAACGATGTTGTTGCAGGGACTAAACCTCCTTCCTATGAGGTCGCCACAGAGGAAGAGGCCTGCCCGTGAGGTCGTCGCCAGAGGCTGCGTCCATTTTGCATGACATCACCACAGAGACTCCTTTCCTGTGATGTCACCACAGACAATGCCTTGTCCCATCCCATCGTCCCTAGAAACAAAGATTTCTTGCTGCGATGTCACTACAGAGACAAGTCTCACACATTTCTCCAGACTTCTTGGTATCATCCCGAGCACCAAGGCCTCTGGGAATTGCCATCACAGGAAAAAATGTTTCTCTGCTATGGAGAAGACGCCTCCATCCCATGATGCCATGACCACGGACAAAGCCATTTTCCTGGGACACATTGCAGAGGACCATACCTGCCATTTGTGTCCTCAATAAAGATTAGGCCTCCTTCCCACAATGCCGTCACAGGATTTTGCCTCCCTCCTGTGATGCAAATCACCAGAATAGGTGCCTTGCCCGATGGCGCCATCACAGGGACCATGCCTCTTCATGTGACGTCATTACCAGAAATGACCACCTGTTACGGGGACCTCTACAGGACGAGGTCCTTCTGGGGTGTGACCACCAGTTACCACCCACTTGGAAATGACACCCGGAGACACTCCTATTGCTGTGCCCTTTTGTGAGGAAATCGGGCACGTCCAGCCCAAGACCACTTGGGAAGATGCCAGAGAAAGTAACTTTTCCTACGATGTAATATGAGCGTGACAGCAGTCGGGATGCCAAGACAATGGCCTGTCTGTAGGAGGCTGGTGATGATGCCCTCCGTTGCTTGGACATCATCACAACGAGTTTCCTTCTCAGAGGTGGTCCCCGCTCCAGATGACCACCAGTAATTGCATCATCAGAGCCCTTGTCTTGCTTAAGCCCTGTAACTTAGCTCCATGGCTTGTTCCCATGATCCCAGGGACGCAGCCAACAGGATGTCTACCAGTGCCTCTAAAGGAAGGTTGGGCCTGTGCGGTGAGTCCTTGGGGATGGCACCCATGGATGAGCTTCAGCTCCGAGGAGGCTACCTTGATCCATGAGGCCTCTAACATCCTGGGACTCACAGGTGGGCCAAAGGCTGGCATCACTTCTTTCTGCCATATCTAAAGACATCAACTCTGTCAACAGAGTCCCCGTCTCCTCTTGGAGGGGGAGGGTTGGGGTGTATGTGCTGCTGACCTTGCCAATGACATCATCAACGCTACCCAGTGTCCCCCTTTCATGATGGCATAGCAGTTGGGGTCCAGTGTTAACCATGTCATTTCCCAGGATTCCGTAAGACTCAACTAGCATCTATCATCATCTACCAGGAATTTATCACCACTAATGGCGTCACCATTGTCTCCCAAGATTCCTCACAACCATGGTGTAATCATCTCCCAGGATCCACGTAACATGTTGTCATGGCCATCTCCCATGATCTACCACAACGTGTCGTCATGATGTGCCAGGATCCACCACAAACACGTTCTCATCACCTCCCAGAATCCATCACAACATGCTCACCTCATCGTCTCCCAGGATCCATCAGAACCATGCTGTGCTCATCTCTCAGGAGCCACTGCAACCACGGTGTTTTTGTCTCCCTGGTTGTGCCGTGACCAGTGATGTCCTTACCTTCCAAAATCCATGATGCCTCATGGTGGCGCTCTCTAAGAGAACTTGCTGGGGCTGGAAGTGCCAGTGTTCCTCGGAATTCCTTATAATGGCAGCATTATCATCTCCCAGAATCCACTCTACCCATGTCCTCATGTCTCAGTAGCCACCACAGCTATGATGATGTCACCACCTCATAAAATCCACTCCTCTGTGGTGTCCTTGGATTCATGCAACCATGTACCATCCCATCCTGGGGTCCACCTAATAGTGTCACGGTTATGATCTACAAGAATCCATGAGAGTCATGGTATCATCCCCCGCCAGGTCCCGCTTCAGTTGTGTCCTATCATGATCCATCAAGATTTCCTGTAACCATGGTGCCATCACCTCCAATCAGCCATAATACCCAAGGATGTCTTCATCTCCCAGGACCCATGTTAACCCCAGTGTCTCCATGATCTAGGGTCCCTGAGGTCCAGTGATATCATTATCCTCGGGGTCTATCATAACCATGGTGTTATCACCTCCCTGGATCCATGCCAACAAATAATGCCATCCTTTCCCAGAGTTCACTTCAGTCATGGTGTCACCGCCTCCCAGAATCCACGTTAAAACTAAGTGTCATCCTCATCTTCCAGGACCCATGGCGCCCGTGTGCTGTCTGCCAGGATCCACCATCTTAGGGTCCAAATGCTGTGACAGGCTGTATATTTCAATTGTCCTCTGGGGTCTCATGGCATTTCCAGTTCCTCCCTTCAGGGGAGCCAGCACAACAGGCCATTTCCCACCCCCTCCCATGGACTAGGGAGGAGCCCGCTGTCTCCCTCTCATCATGTCACCCCCCCACACACTCTGGCCCTTCTTGATTATGCCACTGCCTCAGTCCTGATCTGAAAAGATACCCGGGTCAGCTTCACCTACAGACTTGGCCTGGGCCAGCCTCCTCCACCCACTGGTGAGCGCATCCAAACACTCCCTTGTCACATCACCACTGTCCCTCACCCAGCCATCTGATCGGTGACAGGGTCAACCTAGTGACCTCTCCACAGCGGGAGCGGAAGCGGGGCTTCCCAGCCCTTGGATGGCATTACTGCCCTACCTATGCCACTCGATCCCTGTTCCTTGGACCCCACCAGGATCAGAACTCCCTAGCTTGGGCCTAATCCTCTTTAGAGAGTCTTGGCCCGTGGGAAGATGCCACAGCTGATAAACCACTTGCTGGCCAGTTCCTGGGGTGGGTTCACCTGAGAGCAATGGCCCCTGTTACCCTCTCCTGCAAAGGCCAAGGGTGCTCCTTCATCCCTTTCCCTACCGTACCAGGGAGTACCCAGGGGCTTCAGGGAGTCCCTAACACCCAGTGCACAATCTGACCCCACCACACACAGTTTTCTGTACATAAATATAGCCATGTTTCAAGGGGGCGGCCATTCCCCACTCTTAAAGGGCTACATGTCCCCCTCCCAGCCCCCAAGGCGAGGAGGGGGGCTCTTCTCCCTCCTCTGGGCCGCCCTCTCCCTCTTATATCCTCTTTCCCCACCAAATATTGGCCTCTGTGCTCATCCCTTCTCGCCAAGAGCCTGGATGGGATAGATGGTGTCAGGCTCCCGCACACTGAGGAAAGTAGGGGGTTACCGCCAATCCTCCTCAGCTCCTGCACCAGGTTTTCAGTCTCCCGCTAATAGACGTTCCGTGGGCACCCCCATCCATTCTAGGGCCTCCCTTCAAGCGCGCTTAACACTCCCACGGAACACACAGCTTTCTTCAGCCCCCAGCATTGGAGGGGTTTGGGGAGCCTTCAGTTTCTATTTGCCCGTTCTCTCCCTCCATCCTAACCTGGATTCCTTCCTGGGATCTGCCCTCCCCCTAGTCTCCAGCCTCCACCCACCTGCCTGACCCTGGAGCCTTGGCCTCTTATCTCAATAAAGCCATAGTGGGGAGAGGTCTTGAGGGTGGGTTAGCAGGCGCTATTCTGCTCATCCCCCCCACTACCACCACAATGCTTCCAGAGCTGAGACCCGGCCTTCTGAGTCTTCCCCCTGCTCCCCAGTAAACACACAGACACACGGGCAGGGCGCACACCACTGTGCAGGAAAGCATCTCCCCTTCTGGGTGGAGGCTGCAGAGGAGATGTCAGAGACAAGATCGGAAGTGCCGCACCAGAGGACCCTCCGCACCTCTGAATCCCATCCTTACTCCCGTCCCGACTCTTCCTTCCAGTGCTGAACCCACCTTCAACTTCCTGGTGAGGACAGCAAGAAGAGCTGGCACTTGGGGTGGGGTGGGGCTGGGGGTGTTTTTTTGTTTTGGAATAAACAGCTGTTTTTCCTGATCCTCAGTCTCCAGGTTCTCTTCTTGCTTGTTCACTGGGGAACTGGGGACCTCCTCCCCATGTGTAGTAGAGTACGGTTTGGTCAAAGGCACACTGACATTTGTCAGGGGAGAAACTTCTAAAGATGGTTCCAGAAAGCTCAGAGGTGCCCCTTGTCTTGTGACCCATGAAGCTGAGGAGTCAGGGAAGGGGCTTCCAGAGAGGGTTTCTCAGTGTAGCTTTGGCTGTCCTGTCACTTGCTCTGTAGCCCAGGCTGGCCTCGAACTCGCAGAGATCCACCTGCCTCTGCCTCCCAAGTGCTGGGATTAAAGGCGTGAGCCACCACTGCCTGGCAGGAAGGGGTGTTTTAATGTGCTTTTTATTTTTTGGTTTTGCTTCTTTTTTAAATTTTTATTATTTATGATATAAAATAGACATATAGTAAAAATACATAATAGAAAATATATGTAATAATATAAAAGTATATGATAGAATTATATATAACACCATATATATATATGTAGTGTGTGTGTGTGTGGGTGGGTGGGTGCTTTGCCTGCATGTATGTCTGTGTACCACGTGCATGCCTGGCGCCCTCAGAGATAGGTGTGAGTCACCATGTGGGTACTTGGTATTAAACTTGGTCCTTTGCAAGATCAACTAATGCTCTTAACAAACATTCCACCTCTCCAACTCCTTTAATTTTTAATACTGTATTTATTCACACAGTGTGTGTGTGTGTGTGTGTGTGTGTGTGTGTGTGTGTGTGTGTGCCTGTCCCTGGGTGTGTAGTAATAAGGATTGAGTGTAGAGCCTCATGCATGCTAAACAGGTGTTGTACCAGTGAGCTGTGTATTTCCAGTCTTTTTTTCTTTCTTTTAAAAATATTTTTTGGGGCCAGGCAGTGGTGGCACACACCTCCTAGCACTTGAGAGATAGAGGCAGGTGGATCTCTGAGTTTGAGGCCAGCCTGGTCTACAAAGCAAGTTCCAAGACAGCCAGGGCTACACAAAGGAATATTGTCTCAAAACAAAACAAAAACAAACAAACAAAAACAATAAACAAACAAATAAATTTTTTTTTTATTTTAAGCCAGGCTCTCACTAAGTTGCCCAGGCTGGCTTTGAACTTGCTCTGTAGCCCAAGCAGACAGTGAACTTTCATCCACTATATCATCCTTCTGACTAGCTAGGATGACAGGCCCATGCCAACAAGCCTGCCATCAACACGTCTTTTGAGGGCTGCTACTCAAAACGGGAGCGGGACGTGGGACGGCACGTTCCTTTGAAGTACCTGGTGTACGAAGCATTTTCCCTCTCGTCCAAGGCATTGAATTAGGCTCCGGTCGGCTTCTCTTGCTCTCACAAACACCAACTTGGAAAGGAAAGGATTTGTTTTCAGCTTAAAACTCCCATCTCCATTACTGAGGCAAGTCGGGGCAGGGACTCAAGGCAGAAAGTCAGAGGCAGGAACGAAGCAGAGACCAAGGAGGAATACTGCCTACTGGCTAGCTTCCTCTGGTTTGCATGGCGTGCTTTCTTATAGAACCCAGGACTACCTGCCTGGGGATGGAACTCCCCACCGTGGGCTAGGCCCGCCTATATCATAACTGATATAAGAAAACACCTCACAGACATGGCCACAGGCCAGTCCCGTGGAGGCAATTCCTCAGCCTAGGTTTTGTCTTCCCAAGTGTGTCAAGATGACGACTGAAGCTGACTATGACAAGATATTTGTGTGGTGATGGCCACAATTATCTGTCTTAGTGCTCCCCTGCAGGCCGTGCTGAAGGAGGAGGTGCCTTCATGCATCTACTTGTGAACTTTGAGAAAGGTTTTGGGCCCACGAGGTAGCTCAGCAAGTCTAAAAGCACACGTGGTTAAGCCTGATGACCCGAGTTCAATCCCCGGGAGGCACGTGGTGGAAGGAGAGACCCAACACTTGCACACTGTCCTCCAGCGTCCAATCCATTACTCACCTGCACATGTGATTGTGCTACATGTACATGCATGCGCGTGCGTGCGTGCACACACACACACACACACACACACACACACACACACACACACACACACAGTAGATAAATAAATAAGGGGCTGGAGAGACGGCTCAGCAGTTAAGAGCACTGGCTGCTCTTCCAGAGGTCCTGGGTTCAATTCCCAGCACCCACATGGCAGCACACACCTGTCTGTAACTCCAGTTCCAGGGGATCTGGCACCCTCACACAGACATGCATGCAGGCAAAACACTGCATAAAACAAATAAATAGATATAAAAATTTAAAGGAAGCTCTCCTTGGAGTTACTAAGTGTCTGCCTCTGCAGTACAAGCTTCCACCTCCAAGTATTTATTTGCAAATCACCATGGAAGCCGAGCTGGAGGGAGAAAGATCAGAAGCAGAGGTAGGCTTGGGCGTAGTACTGTCCGCCTATAATCCCAGCACAGCGGGATCCCAAGGGCCAGGCCAAGACAAGTGTGGCCCGTGCCTTTAATTTCCGCACGGTAAGAAGTGGAGATGGAAAGATCAGGGGTTCAACATCAGCCTGTGCTACATGAGACCCTATCTTAATAAAATACAATAAAGTTAGCCGAGAACATAACGCCATCAGTAAAGGGTTCAGCACCCAAGCTTGGTGACCTGAATTGACTCTCCCAACATCTCTACACAGAGCCAGGTACAGGGACACTGGAAAGGTGGGGACAGGTGGGCCCCGGGGGCTTGCTTATGGTGATATTTTGTTTGTGCTCTAACAAATAAAGCTTGCCTGAAGACTAGAGGGAGGAGCTAGCCATTGGTTAACCAGAGAGGTCTGGAGGTCTGTATAGACAGAGACAGGAAGTGATATGGCTGGGCAGAGAGAGGAGCAGGAGCTAGGGCCCTTTTTCAGTCTGAGGAGTCGTGGAGGTAAGAGGCGACTTTGGCGGCTCCTTTACTTCTCTGAGCTTCCAGCATCTGCCCTGATATCTGACTCCGGGTTTTTAATTCTTAAAACCAATTAGAATTCGGGCTATACTTGCTGGCTAGCTTAATCCCCAAGCTCCTGAGGAAGGACGCTGTGGGGTTGGGATGTGTTTTACACACACACACACACACACACACACACACACACACACACACACACACACAATCATGAGCAGTTCAAGGTCAACTCAGGCTACATAGTGAATACCAATCCAGCCATGGCTACATAGCAAGACCCTGTCTTCACTGCCCCCTTCCAAAAGAAAAACAGATAGAAATGAAGGGAGAGAAAAGGGAGAGGAGGAGAAAGAGAAGGAGAAGGAATATGAACTGCTTGGGAACATAAGAAAGGGGCCCCGGGATGGTTCGAAGGCAGAAACCACCTAGCCCTCCCTGGGGCCAGCTTGGACTCATATTTTTTGTTGAGCCAACCCGAAGACTTATTCAACAAAACTGAGTGAACAGCACAAATAAGTCCCTGTTCTTGAGGCGTAAATGGCCCTCGGAAGTTCCTGAATTCTCTCTCCCACAAGCCTCTCTTGATTGGGCTCCCGTTCCTGGCAGCCAAATGCACCCTGACAATGGCAGTGATTGTGAGAGGAGCGGATGAGAGGAGCCAGAGGAGCGAGGAGGGGCCCAAGTGAGCATCAGCCAGTCAAACTCTATTTGCATTTTTATGCTTCCTTCCAGAATTTTCCTCATGCAAATACATTTTCCCCCCACAAAGCAGTCTTCCTATATATAGGTTGCTCTGTAACCTGCTTTTCCTCATCTAATAATACAAGAGTGTTGTGGCATACACAAATTTAACTTATGGGCACCCAACTGTATGTCCTTGGTACAGAGTGAGAGGTAGGGGGGAAAAAAATAAGCAAACACTGAAAGTCACCAGGAGGAAAATAACAAAGACCTTTTTTTGTGACGTGCCTGACAGGGACGCTTCAAGATGTTGTTGTTGTTGTTAAGAAGCAGCGGGCAGGCCAGTGAGATGGTTCTGTGTATAGAGAGAGGCTCATGCCCCCAAACCAGACAGCCTGAGTTTGATCCCTAGAACCTACATGGTGAAATGAGAGAACCAATGCCCAAAGGTTGTAGTCAGACCTCCTCCATACATGCAGTGGCACACCTGCTTCTATACACACACACACACACACACACACACACACACACACACACACAATCATGAAAAGATGATGATAAAGAGATGGAAGGATGGATGGATAGACAGATGTAATTAAATTTAGAAAAAGAAAGAGATAGATAGATAGATAGATAGATAGATAGATAGATAGATAGACAGATGTAATTGAATTTAGAAAAAGAAAGCATGGGGACAATTTCCTGTCAACGGATACTTGGGAGGTGGATGCCAGAGGTCAGAAGTTCAAGATCAGCCCCACAAGACATGGTACATGCCTTTAGTGCCAGCACTCAGGAGGCAGAGGAAGGTGGACTTCAGGCCAGCCTGATCTACACAGCAGTTACAGGCCAGCCAAGACTACATACCAAAACCCTGCCTCAAAATCAAAACAGTGCAAAAGGTTCAAGGTCATCCTTGGCTACACGTGGGATTCAAGCCAAGAGAAAAGGGTGGGGTGGGGCTGGAGGATGGCTCAGAAGGGAAGACATCGCTGCTCTTCAGAGGACCCCTGCCTTGCCTCTCCAAATCTATAATCAAGTTCCAGAATCTAACACCCTCTCCGGCTTACCAGGGCACCTGCACTCACATGTGTACACACACGCGTGCATGCACACACAAAAGCACACAAACAATTAAAATAAATTTTTTGTTTTAAAGGGGATGAGAGGAGGGAGGGAGGGAAGGAGAGAGGAGGAGAGAGAGAGGAGAGAAGTGGGGGGAGAGAGGCTGAGCTTAGTGGTGTGCTGTAAAACCAGACCTCTGGAGGCAGAGGCTTGAGGACTGCACACCAGCTCCAGGTCAGTCAGGGCTACATAGTGAGACTTCATCTCAAGAAACAGTGAGGCACCAGGCCATGGTAGCGCACCTTTAATCCCAGCACTCAGGAGACAGAGGCAGGCGGATCTCTGTGAGTTCGAG